TTATAAAAGAATATGTAGATAAAAAAAGTGTCGATATATGCCTTCATTTTTCTTAATAGTTAAAGTTAAAACTGAACTTTTTAAAATAAAGTATTTATCGTGTCATTTTCACCAACTAGCAAAACATTTTTATAAGTTTAAAATGGTATTTTTTTAATATAATAACCAAGAAAGTTTTTTTTGAACTATGTTTATGAACGGAAATAATGTGTTAATTACGTAAAGTTTGAAGGCTAATAACCAGAAAAAGTCTAACTTATTTTTACAAGAGAAAGATGCAAAGTTATCATATCTTTGCTTGCGGTCTCCGAGATCTGTAGATACAGTGACGTCATGAGGAGGGAAATCGTAGCTTCAGCTCTAAGAGCGGAGTGAACTAGCCCTTGTATTCTCTTTAGCCCTGCCCCACACTACCTCTCCATAACGTGTAGAAATACATTTTACACTGATTTACCTCTCGGCCATTGTGTTTTTTCTTGTTCCGTTTTTCATCTATATTTTCTCTCTCGGCTTCTGTGGTTTTTCTTTCTTACCTTTATTTGTCCATTTTTCGTTAACATTGTTGTTGTTCTTGTTCATTTACGTCACACTAGAGCTGCACAATGGGCTATTGGCGACGGTCTGGGAAACATCTCTGAGGATGATCCGAAGACATGCCATCACAATTTTGATCCTCTGCAGAGGGGATGGCACCCCCGCTTCGGTAGCCCGACGACCTGCACGCGAAGTCGAGCACTTTGCGGTAGAACAGTTTAACAAGGACCAATACCGCACAGCCTCGGTCCCTACGCAGGCTGATACAAGTGGTCACCCACCCGCACACTGACCGTAGCCAGTGATGCTTGACTTCGGTGATCTGCTGGGAACCGTGTCTTAACGATCAGTCCACTGCGGGACTTTTCGTTAACAACTTCATGGTTTTTTTTTCCAAATCATTTTTGTCTAACTGTATTTGCGACTGTCAAGTCTTGAAAATGGGCGCCAATTTTTGGTGCGCTTTAAACATGTCAACTGTCTTTCAATTTTGTATATTTTTGAAACGTACGAAAATTTCTATCAGGTAATATCTTCCCGTTTCAGTTTCTTGGGATTATTTGTTTAAATGAACAAGTAGTTTGAGGAACTTTGGAAAAAGCTAATGCTGACCTCGATGCGTACACCAAATTTCGTGATGATCTGTTAAAACATCATGGATTAGTATAAATTCAAGATTACATCTCCCACTTAAAAATAAATCCTATTCTTTAAAATCCTATTTTTTTTAAAAAAATGAAGATCGTATTTAAAATTATTAGTAAACTTTATTGACCTACACTTTATTACAATTTTTTTAAAGAGTATATTACGTGTAGATACTTCACTGTTTAAATAATACTAGTACATATTTGTATAAACGCATCAAAATGTTGATATAATATTCGATTTTTAACTATATCAAATTTAATGTACTTAATGAAAAATTACTAATCTCCTGTTGCTGCTGTTTTCAGCCGCCATCATTATAAATAAATGAAAAATCAGTAATTAAAAACTGTTATAATGATGGCGAAAAAGAAAAAAGTTAGAACTTACTTCTTCTAGGTGCACTGAATCTTGAACCACCATTAACACAACAAACAAACAAAGCAAACAACAAAAAATACATATTTTTTCAACCTTCTACTAAAACAAACCCGTTGCTTCAGCAATCAATCCTTTTGTTAACTGCGGATGAACGTGTTAGTTTTTAAAAAGTAAAAGAAACAATTCACGTGTCAGAGTTAATCTGTTGAAGAATGAAATAAAGAAAAAAAAAAGTTGCTGCCTTGTTTTAGATAAAGTCATTAGTGAAAAATTCCAGTCCAAGTTTTTGTCTGACCGGAAGTTGTGAGTCACGTTATGTGCGAACAATGAAGGATACACACAATACTTGTTCTTGAAAAAATTAAAATAAATAGCTTTTAGTTATTAATAGTTTTTCGATTTTTATAAGCCAACGTTTGAATGAAATTTGTTTGAATTCAAGGAACCAGAAATATTGTAATTAATCTTTAAGAAATGAATTAAATTAGGTACAATATTACGAAGGCCAAGAAAAAAAATAATGGAAGAGAGCATTTGCAAGGAGATTTTAGGGAATTTTGGAAAATCGGTTTTAATATTTAAGTATAAGAACGTCTTTTACACATGAAAAATCCTCCTTATTTATTGACTTAGCAGAACAATGTTTTTCAATTACAGTAATTCATTATTTGTTCTTAAACTAGAACAGTTGAGTTACATTTCTATAGAACAGTTGGAATTAATTTTTACTAATTCCTTATAAAATACAATATTTCAAATACAAGAAAAACTTAGTGGAAGAGCATGCTATAGGAGATTTTAGTGAATTTGGGAAAATCAATTTCATTGATGGACTTGGAAGTAAAATAATGCTCAACTCTGTACAATCGTCTATAATTAGTTCTCAAAATAGGATACTTAGGTGATGTTTCTTAACATGTTCTTCCACTTATCTTTGCAATTACGATTACATAAATCATATCAATACCTATAAGGTCAGAATTTGAAGAAACGATGATTTCTTCAGGTTCTTTTGGATCAATGAAACCATGAGATTTGCCTAGAAAATAGACGCCAACAAGCAGAGCGATTGATTGGAAGAGCTGGAAAAGAATGTAAGAATAAATTTTGGGAAGCTATATACGGTTAATTACGCCCTCTCACAGTAACAGGGCCGGCCCTGGGAAAAGGCATGCAAGGCAGTCGTCTAAGTAATGTTATAGAAAAGAGTTTAAGAGCAAAAATCTTTTTTTTTTTTTAAATATCAAAAAATCTAATATTTAATATCTTAGTATCGATCCTCATTAAACTGTTATTTTACCGTTAAGTGCTCGACTAAAATCACTTTTTTTTTTACAAAAAAAAAAAATTTTTTTAGAACATTATTTTTTTTTTTTTTAAAAAAAGGTCATTATAAAAGGAGTAATAAAGGATGCAGATATAATGTACTGAATACTAACAATTACTGAGTTAACAATAATATACTGATGCAATTTTGAGAGCTGCTGCATACATTTATTCAAATTACGCGAACAATTAAAATAACACTTTTGAATTTCGTATATAAACTTTGATAATCATTGTAAAGGTTGTAGAAAATTTCTTAGATCAGGGATGGGCAAACTACGGCCAGCGGGCCAACTGTGGCCCGCCGGAAGGTTTTATCCGACCGCGGAAAGAATTTTAACTTGCCAATCCGTGGCGAATATAGACAATATACATTATACATCAATTTTCTACTATTATCCACGGTCTACTTTGTTTAAATCTAATTTTTTTTCCTTCTTTAACAAAGTACTGATGACCTTTTTACTTTCTCTATTTTTGCTCTACAAAACATAAATTGATCGAAATAGCTTCAGAAAGCTTCAATTGGTGAAATGTTGAAAGCAGAAGTTCTTTATAGAATAGCCGTAGATTGTAGCCAACGCGCGTTTGTTTTTCTCGATGAGCTAGCTGACATACGGAATCTAATACAGGTAAATTGTATTTCACATGTGGCAGGCTGCCATTTTAAGCTCCAACGACCGGTGCGAATTATTGCGTATGGAAAGATTACGCACATATAACGTTATTGTAAATAATGGTGAAATTATTAAATGTATAGAATAGCTAGTGCTTGTTTGAGTTATTTGTAAAAATTTTTAACCCCAAAATGGTTACTGAAAAACGCAAAGTTGATTCAGAGTACAGTGCGTTCAATGATGAATGGACTTGGAAATATTTTTTTACAGTTGTTAAAGATAAGCCAGTATGTATTATCTGCAATGAGGCTGCAGCAGTTTTCAAAGAATACAACATTAACCGACATTTTACAACCAAGCGCAAGAATGCCAACTACGTAGCAATGTCTGAATGTGAAAGAAGACAAAATGCAGAAAGTTTTTTTAAAGAATGATCAGACCGACAAAAATTTTTTTAAGAAGATAAACAGTGTTCAAGGAGCAGCTACGCATGCAAGTTACATTGTAGTATACAATATTGCTAAAAATAATAAATCTCTTGGTGATGTGGAGTTTGTTAAACAATGTATGCTCCAAGTTTTAGATGTTTTATATCCAGACATGAAAAATAATTTTGAGGCTGTAACCTTATCTCGAAAAATGGTGACTTCTAGAATCAAAGTCATCGATAAAAATTTAAGAGTTATGAAGATGGCTTGAAAAACTCCATTTTGGGTTTGAACGCAGATTTCACGATTTCAGTGCCCTTCAAACAGAATTAGATATTTTTACCGTGCCTTTCAAAGTGAATTGTGAAACAGTGAGGTCGGATTTGCAGCTTGAATTAATTGAGTTGCAATCTAACAATCATCTGAAGTGGTTGTTTTGAAATATGCCAAAGTTTGAGTTTTACAAATCATTACCAAAAGCTAGTTCCCCAAATTTAATATCTCATGCCAGATAATCAGTGCTATGTTTGCTTCATTTTATTACCACGTTTATATAAACTTGCCTTCGTGTATGTCTGTCCGGGTGGAATTTTGTAATCGATTTTAAACTAACTTCCCGACTAGCTACAAACTTCAAATTTGGTACATAGTTCAGAACTGGATGACAATGCATGAAAATGAAGAGAAAAAAAGACATACAAAGTAAAATAAAATTAAAATTTAAAAAAAAAATTATTATATATTGAATAAGTGATTTCGTATGAACCTTAGAAAAAATCATTTCAGGAGTTGACTAATAGACAAGCATTTAGCCTCGTTCCTCAAAATAATTAAATCTCACTTCGAACCTCAATATAAAGAACTTTTAAAAATGAAATCGCACATCTTATTAAATGTTTCAATTAAAACTTGTAATCGTTTTTTTTTTTTTTTTTTTTTTTTTTTTTTTTTTTAAGAAATTTTTTCTTGGCCCACTAAACTTTTTTTTCTCGATTTTTTGCCCTCGACCAAAAACGTTTGCCCATCCCTGTCTTAGATCATCAAAATGGACTGTTTAAAAAAAATCTTATTTCATTCTAAAGTTGTTCTTTTTGTGAATCAATGAAAAGATGTGAAATTTCTTATCACATCTAAATCGGCACCTTTTATGAAGGGAAACGTTCTTCTCACACTCAAAATTTGTTCGTTAATTTTATAAATCTTCGAAAATACATCAAATTTTTTAGCATATTGAAAATTTACCGCTTTTCCAAGAACAAATTTCGTTTTCTCGTATTTTATGTAAACAATAACAAGAAGAAAAAGTAAAAAAATAAAATAAAAAATTAATGAAAATGTTTAAGTGTTTTGTATAAGGTGTAAATCGTTGGTTTAAAATCTCCAGTTTAGTTTTTAAATTTTTAAAATAAGATTCATTTCTCAATTAATAACAAAACTGATAAAAATCTAGTTTTTCCTATTTTATTTTATTTTATAACCGTCGTTGAACAGCTGACCCAAATTTGGGGTTTACGATTACTTATGTTCCATTCCGTAGCCTTGTAATTTTGAACCCAATCCAGAAGACAAGGGAACTTCTGGATCAAGTATTGGGAGAAATTTGCCTTCGGGGAGGACTTTTTGATGGAACTAACTCGCATTTGCGTTTCATGGAGAGGAAAAACTCGAAAAACTCACGCGGTTAGCCTGGCGGCAAGGGGACTCTAACCCATGATCCGTCTACCACTGAGGATACAATTTTGTTCCATTAATCAAAAACAACATTAACTTTTTCTTTCTTTCCCTTTTGCAGCGAAATACATGCGCTGCAACATACATACATACAGCGAAATGCAGCGAAATACATTTTGTCTAAGGTTTTAAAATGAGCAAAACACTTCATTTCTTTAAAACAGCTTAATCCTATTCCTATTACGATCACTGATAAGAATGTACTATGATAATTCATTAAAAAAAATAACTGATATGCTATAAAATTAAAAAAAAATCACTTTTTTATTAATTAATATTTTTAAAAACACAAATAAGAAGATATTTTTTTATCGGAGCCGACTATTCATTTATTATTGAAGCCATTTATTTCAACTATACCGCAAACAATATAAAAATTGAGGAAATTAATTAAAAATTTACCTGTTTGCTGAGCATCGTGTTCTAGTAGTTTAGAGAAATTACAGACACTCGACTAAATATTAAAAGCATTTCTAATTTAATAGAATCTATTTATTTATTATTGATGCCATTTATTATCAACTATACCGCAAACAATATAAAAATTGAGGAAATTAATTAAAAATTTATCTGTTTGCTGAGCATCGTGTTCTAGTAGTTTAAAGAAATTAAAGACACTCGACTAAATAATAAAAGCATTTCTATTTTAATAGAGTCTATTTATTTATTATTGAAGCCATTTATTACCAACTATACCGCAAACAATATAAAAATTGAGGAAATAAATTAAAAATTTTACCTGTCTGCTAAACATCGTGTTCTAGTAGTTTAATGAAATTAAAGACACTAGACTGAATATTAAAAGCATTTCTAATTTAATAGAATATATTTATTTATTATTGATGCCATTAATTATCAACTATACCGCAAAAAATATAAAAATTGAGGAAATTAATTAAAAATTTTACCTGTTAGCTAAACATCGTGTTCTAGTAGTTTAATGAAATTAAAGATACTCGACTAAATAATAAAAGCATTTTTAATTTAATAGAATCTATTTATTTATTATTGAAGCCATTAATTATCAACTATACCGCAAACAATATAAAAATTGAGGAAATTAATTAAAAATTTACCTGTACGCTGAACATCGTGTTCTAGTAGTTTAATGAAATTAAAGACACTAGACTAAATAATAAACGCATTTCTAATTTAATAGAATCTACGGCATTTATTATCAGTCGGGACCTGATAAGCTATTCGCGAGCTTATTTTTGAAAACAACCGATCACACTTCAACTTTTACTAACGATAAGTTTTAAGAAAAAAAATTCCAGATGTAATAAATATAAAAGTAAAAAAATCCATGAGAAATTAAGCTGCGTGTAACAAACTGTTCTTTAGTTGAAATAACAAAATATTTAAAAGCAACATTATATTAGTGTAAACGTTAATTCGACAGGTAAAATTTAAAAAGATTGAAATTGTGAATGAAAAGTAATATGAATATAGTAAAAGATAGGAAGAGGATTGTCATAACTCATTTATTGAAAACGTTTATGGTAAAAGTTCAAAATACGGGGTGTCCCGTTATCATTCATCTTAATACATGCTATTAAGTTCCTTGACAAAAATGGAGTAAATTGCATACACCTTAAGTGCCGCAAATCGATATTAAACCCAGAAACACAATCGAAAGCTAACGAATCATTATGGAGGAAGGCGAGTTAGAAAACCTCAAAACTTGCTAACAATCTTTAACGATAACCTTATATTAAGTAACACTTCAAATCGGAAACGATTTTACAATGATCTCTTTGGAGTCTCTTATATTTTTAAAAATTTCGATATAAATATTAAAATTAACTCTCTCTCTTAAAAATTTGAATATTTTAAAAAGAATTTTTTCAGCATTTAACTACACTTTAAATTTTAAAATACTAATGAAGAATAAAGATGAAATGGTGTAACGTCCTCATTAGTGAATAGTATTGTTCAATACTATAAGATTGAAGTCGTGGTGGCTCAGGGGATAGAGCGTTCGCCTTCCAATGAGGTGAACAGAGTTCGAATCCCAGCCAAGGAGAGTACGAATTCCGCACTCGGCTCGCACCGATCACAGTGTTGAAGTAAAATATTCTCAGTAGTAGACGGATCATGGGTTAGAGTCCCCTTGCTATCAGGCTTCTGTGGGAAGTCTTCGTGGTTTTCCACTCCATGTAAAACAAATACGGGTTAGTTCCATCAAAAGGTCTTCCACGAAGGCAAATTTCTCTCAATACTTGATCCAAGAGTTCCCTTGTCTTCTGAATTGGGTTCAAAATTACAGAGCTACTGAGTTGAACATTGATAGTCATAAACATAAAATCGGGTCGGCTGTTTAACGACGGTTATAAAATAAAAATGCTATAAGATTAGTATGTTTTTTTTACTATTATGACTGAGAGTAGACATACGACCGCCAAAGGGTTAATTGTTTTAACCAGTAGAATTTGATGGGATCACCTCACTTTTTCAAACGAAAAATAATTTGGTTTCACCGTTAATGATCTTGACCCGGAAATTTTTATTTTATTTTATTGAAATATCTCTGACTATAATGAATGTTTTTACATCTTCTTTATTAAACACTTGATAAACACCACACTTTATTCTATTTAAAGTGCTAGAAATTTCACAAACACTCTTTCTTTCAAATTTTGAAAAATTTTAAAAATTTAGTTTTTTTATGAATTTTGCAACTTTCAACAGAGTGGGTGTGTGTAGGGACCTCTTAATTAAAAATAATCTGTCTGTCTGTTAGCATCTGTCTGTCTGTTAAAAATAATCTGTCTGTCTGTTAGCATGGAACACGTCACTTCATCCAGCCAATAGCCGCAGTAGCTAAGAAATTTCTTAAGCGCTTAAACTTTTGAGGCAGTGTCATTTTAAACAAAATTTTAAAAATCACAATATTAAATAATAAAATCAGTTTCAATGAGCAACATCTCTGGATAACATTTAATTTCTGTTATAATTTAAGAATTTTCCCCTTATTACATCACATATATTTCAATTACTGCGCTGCACATAACAATGAAAGGATATTGAGTTTGTGGGTTGATCTTGCACCTGGAGAATTGTTTGAATGATTGATACACTATCGGCAGACGCTGTATGGGCTATATGAGATAAAAATGACATTTGTTTGGTAGGAAAAAAATGCGTTTTATTGAGCATTTGGGTACAAAAGGTAAAAAACACAATTTGCGCATATGAGAAAACTTAAAAAAAAGGATTTCCTTAAATGAAAATTGTTCGCCGGACGGCCAGCAACGTTGAACACCTTTGAGGCATCGAGTCAATGAGGTTGTCAATGAGGAGCTGTAGTATTCTGCCCCACTCCTCCCGAAGAGCTCTTTCCAGTTCTTGGAGAGCTTGTGTGGGAGGTAGGCGTACAGCAATTCCTGATGGCAGTAACAGGATATTTTTAATAGATAGTTTATTTTAAACTAGTTGCAGCACTAATCAAATACGTAATACAAATACAAAAGCCAAAAAAATAGGCACTTTTATGACCGTTTTCTTGAAAATTAAACGATCGTTAAGGGGTTAAACATGCTCGATTGGGTTCATGTCCGGCGAACACGTTGCCCAATCCATTCGTATGACTCCTTCCTCCAAAAGGAAATCATTCACCTAGTTAGCACGATGTGGCCAGCAATTGTCGTCCATTGACAGGATGTCATCTCCAATTGCTGCAGCGTAAGGGACTTCAATAAATCTCAGGATCTCATTATTATTAAATTATTAAAATTTAATATGAAACAACCACAAAAGGAAAAAAAAAGCAGTGAGTCTCAATCATTTTTTCAAAATTTTCTTTAATAGTTTCTGCGTAAATTGAATATGATACTTGACAAGTATTAATTATAATTATTTAAAATTAAAAACGAAACATAGTTTTTCATTTATTGGAATTCCTGGAGGTGAAAATGTTCGATCCTCAAGGACGCAGGGAATCGTAAAGGGCGAAATTTTAATTTCGGAACTAGCAAGAAGCTACAGGGAGTAAATCCAATAAATAAAATATAATAGTTCGCTGTTACTGTTATCTAGTAATTATTTTTAACTTTAATTATAAATAATGTTGACCACATGCCATACTGAATCCATTGCTACTCTTAAAATAGGAAGAAAAAAAATTATTTTTTTAAAATTTAATGCTATAATAAATTAATATTCTTTTGTTAATTCGAAGATAAAATAGAAAAACTTAATGCTAAAAAAATCATAGAACTCATTGATTCTTATTTTATACGCATAAGATATTTTATTCATTTAATAATATATTTAAATAGAGCATGTTTTTATTTTTTGTAATAAAATTTAAATGTTGTAAAAAATGTAAAATTTTGTCAAAATTTATTGGTTTTGAAAATTTTTAATTAATTTAATTTAGTAATTAGTATAATAACGTATTTAAAAGGAGTGTGTTTCTATATTTTGTGATAAAAATTTTAGCGTTGTAAAAACAGAAATTTTTTGTCAAAATTTATAGTCTTATACATTTTAATTAAATTATTGAAAGTGTTAGTGGGAATTTTTCATACCCAAAAAGTGCTTTAATGAAAAATTATTTTTTCAAAAGAATAAAAAAAATTATATAATTAATTGCGTATATATACGCAATTTTTTAAACATTTTAATGAATATTTTTCCTTTTTTGATCCACCTGAGAAAATTTTTCTGTTTTGATCTCCCTGACTTGTACTATGAAGAATTAAATGATCTGCATAAAAGTATTATTAAAATATGCGTCCTATTTTTATGGTGGTGTTGATGGAAGAATAAAAAAAAAACTATTTTGTGACTAAGTAAAAGAAAATAAAGGTTTAAATATTTTTAAAAAGTAGTATTAGATTTCTGAATAAACTAAATAAACCTACTCGTCTATTTATATTGATAAGTTTTTTTTTTTAATGAATATTTCAAGTATGCTATTTCTATTTAGATTCAGTTTTTATTTTTCAGTGTTTTAATAAACATTTATCTTTTTAAATATTTCAATTAAATTACATTTTTTATTCAATAAAAATAAACGTTTTTGCATAGAGTTTATTATGATAATAGAGCACGTAATTTCTCCAGTAATTATATAAAGAGCAGTAAAGAAAAACATACTAATTAGAACATAAAATATACGAACATATTAATAAAGAACATATTTAAAACAAAAAAAATTATTAAAAATCGTTTTCTTTTTTATTTACAGAAAATTTATTTTTTAAAATTATAATGCCTTTAATACTTTTTGAAACTTCATCTCATAATCTGTAAATTATGTAAGACTTAATACTTACTCCAAAAGATACATATAGTTTGTTCTTATACCACGGGGTGGCAGCATTAGCTGTGCAACACGCAGATCTCAAACGCTGAATAGCCTCCATATTTGGTCATGGCATAATTAAAAGAATGAACGAAAAAATAATAACTTGATCGTATGAAAAAAATTTGAGAATTGTCAGTTAAATTATCGTTTTATGGCACAGAAAAAAAATTAATCGTTATCCTCTATAAAGAAATACCTATCATTTTGTATTGTTAAAAATCAGAAAAGTTCTACTCAAAAACTGAGTAGAAATAAAACTAAAAGCTTTGGTATTCTTCAAAACAAATCTTGGATGAACATCGATTTAAACATATAAGATCCAAATTTATAAAATTTGTATTGGATTTCATGTTTGACAGATTTGCGTTTAACAACTTTTTTGCCATTTCACACACATCATCACTATTATTGCTTTCAAAACAAACAAGAAATAAGGGGAAAGATGAGGGAGTGAGAACCAGTCAATTATAGGATCCAGCTCGCCACCTTGGCGCATGCGTAGAGGTAATTGTTTCTTAAATAAATGGAATGAATCAATCTATTCCCTCCTTATCTTCTGCATCAACAGCTTGCAAATATGTAATCGTTAATCTAACCAAATCGCTAATACAAGTTCGGAATAACAATTTAATCGTGCGAAATGTAGAAATACTGAACAATTTAAAGAACAGAATATTGTTCGAAAAAAAAAATCCCAGTTTGAGAAATTTTTAAAATTATGAATTTAATGTACTTTTAACTTAATATTTCTAATTCCTAAATAAAGAATAATTAAAGGAAAAGAATAATCTAATATCCATCGAATTTGGTGTTTCAGCTGTATCCTCAATAAAAATATTTATGCGCAAAAACAAAAAAATTGCTTGAGAAATTTTTCAAATTCTGAATTTAATGTTAAACCAAATTTAATACCTTAATATTTCTGTAAAGTAATATTAATTTATAATGAATTATTAAAGGATGGTGGCAGGAAATGTGTTTTTTTTAGAAATATGAATAAAAAAGTATGCTAATAAATCATTGATTAAATTTAATTAACTTTTTTAATTATTAAATAAAAAACTGATAAATTTTAACTTTCGCTCGTTTTGCTAAAGATTAAAACTAGATTAAAATAATAAGATATCATTTTACCATAAAACTTTCTAAAATAGTATTTAAATAGAATTTTTTTCCTTTCTACTGATTTTTTATAGTAATTAAAATCTTTGATAGACGAAGGTAAATTCAATTACATTTTTATTTTACAAGAACAATCACTAGGTAAGCGTATTTAAAAGATAAAAAAAATTTTAAAATATTATTTTTTTAATGATAAAATCATATTAAATGCTGCCCAATGTATTGGACAATAGGATTTTAAGAAAACATTATGGATCAATGACAAATCTAATTTTTAAAGAAAAATGCCTTCATTCGTTATCAATTTTTGGAAAATGTCACGATGTATAAAATGATATGATCACTTTCCTCAAAGTGCCTAATACCTATAAAAAAAAAGGTTATTATACGCAAATAAATTTTTTTCGTGTTAACTTATTCGTTTTTAACTTATATTTTTATAGTTTAGTTAAAGAGAAACGCTATCAAAAACTAAAAGAATAAAATTTTTACTAAGTTTAATAATTTTTTATTATTGCTATTTTATTATTCTATATATATGGCATAATAATTTTCTACACGATTTTTAATCCTTTTATCTTGGCATTTTAAAATTGAAGTGAATTTCAAAAACAATCATAGACTAACCATAACGGATGAATGATACTTCTCTCTTGTGATTTGAATCTGTTTTGTCTCTAGGGTGTAACAATTTAATAAAATATTTTAGAACACATCGTATTCAAATACATATATGAAGAAAAAAATTGTTGGCTACATTTACTATGAATTAGTAATAAAAAAGGATATTTCTATTCAAATGGATATTTCTATTACAGAAGTTCCATCAAGTAAATAAATAAAAAAAATTAGATTTTTTTTCAATTGGTAATTTTTTGTTGGTGTGCTATTTGAAAAAAAAGTGCTCCTAAAAATTATTAAATTGTGTTAAAAAAAACATTAAAATTTTGAAATGTTACCTCGTTTACGAACTGCACTGAATAACAACTTAATGTAAGTTTAAGTTAGAAGAGTTATTACATTATTTCCGTTTCATTAAAATGTTTGTATTCAATTTTAAAAAAAAATCTCTCAATTGTATTCAAATTATCACAGAAAAAATGAAATTTTCCTACTATATTTCTTCCCTTAAAAGTTATAGAAATTACCATTATTTTACTTGAAAATCATGAAATTATTTTACTAAATTATGTATGATCTAAATAAAGAATAGATCTTTTAGGATTTAAAAAAAAATGAATTACGGTATTTTACGGTATTTATGCTTAAATATTTAATTGACCTGCCGAGCACGTCAATTAAATACAAAGCAACGCAAGATAGAAAATACTTCCCTACAGGATGGAATTTTCACTTGCCCCGTTAGCGATTTTTCCAATTCAGCAGCCCTTGACAATCCGCTCTCCTGTTTGGTATTTTCTCAAGAAAAAAAAAATAATTCTTGACTTTTTTAGTTCAGGTTACAAATCTTAAGATAAATAAAAGCTTGCATTATAATTGACATCCAAGAGGAAAGTCTCTAACAAGGAGAGCGAGTGGTAAAAGGCCACTGGATTGTAAATTGGCGCTGCTTCCTTGTCCGACAATGTAATTTTCGAGCCCGAATGTTTCAAAAACAATCAAATAAGAATTTTTGCAAAATTTTGAAACATTTACTAGGCCTCGATCCATGGAATAAAGTGAGCAATGCTACATAATATATAAATTGAGTATATTTAAAATTAACTGTTAAGAGGTTCTTCCTCTCCCAACAGAACTCAACTGTCGAACCCGGGTGAGACGGGATGAGAAATTTCCTAATATGCTTTTAATCATCTTTATTTAATTTTCACAAATGATGGATTCTTACTTTATTTGGCAGTGTCTTTCGATACATGTAAAATGCAAGGGGGAAAAAAAGGAAAAATGTATTTTTGAAAGGTATAATGCTGTCTAATAGTGCTATNATATATATATCTTGTATATATCGAATATATATATCTTGTATATATCGAATATATATATCTTGCAAGAATACGTTATATCTTTCCATATAACGAATTTATTATTGGGATTTAGCGACTTCGTTAAATAGAGGTCCGACTGTATTTTATCATTACTATTTTATTATTCTGTATATATGGCATAATAATTACTGCACGGTTTTTAATCCTCTTATCTTGACATTTTAAAATTGAAGTGAATTTCAAAAACAATCATTGACTACCTATAACGGATGAATGATTCTTCTCTCTTGTGATTTGAATCTGCTTTGTCTCTAGGCTGTAACAATCTAATATTATACTTTAGAACACATTGTATTCAAACACATATATGAAAAGAAATTGCTAGCTACATTTACTATGAATTAGTAATAAAAGAGGATATTACTATTCAAATGGATATTTCTATTACAGAAATTCCATCTTACAAATCAAAAAAAAAAAAAAAAAAAAAAAAACATTTTAATTTTTTTTCAATTAGAAATTTTTTGTCCATGTGCTATTTGAAAAAAAAGTTCTCATAAAAATTATTAAATTATGTTTAAAAAAAAAGCATTAAAATTTTAAAATGTTACCTTGTTTATGAACAACTAAATGTAATTTTAAGCTAGTAGAGTTATTACGTAATTTCCGTTTCATTAAAATGTTTCTATTCTTCAATTGTAACAATTTTTAAGAAAATCACTCAATGGTATTCAAACTATCACTGGAAAAAATAAAATTTTCATATTATATTTTTTCCTTTAAAAATTACGTAAATTACCATTATTTTACTTTAAAATCATGAAATTATTTTCTTAAATGATCTAAATAAATCTATGATCTAAATGTATGATCTAAATAAAGAATAGATCTTTTGGGAATTTAAAAAAAATCAGAAATAGAAGACGTTAAAAGAGTTCTGGAATTTTGCAAAATTATTAGGGTGAACATGTGCGTCCTTATGCTTACCCTAAAAAGCACGACACGTTAGTGATTTTAGAAAGGGTGATAAATGAGTAGGAAAATTTTAAAGCAATCTATATCCGGTATTTTATGGTATTTATGTTTAAATATTTAATTGACCTGCAGAGCACGTTAATATAGAAAATACTTCCCTGCAGGTTGGAATTTTTACTTGCCCAGGTAGCGATTTTTCCAGCCTGTTTGGTATTTTCTTAAGAAAAAAAGTAATTCTTGACCTTTTTAGTTCAGGTTACAAATCTTAAGATAAGTAAAAGCTTGCATTATAATTGACATCCAAGAGGAAAGTCGACATAAAGAGAGCGAGCGGTTAAAAGCCACTGAAAATTGTAAATTGGCGCTGCTTCCATGTCCGACAATATAATTTTCGAGCCCGAATGTTTCACAAAACAATCAAATAAGAATTTTTACAAAATTCTGAAAAATTTACTAGGCCTCGATCCATGGAATAAAGTGAGCAATGCTACATAATATATAAATTGAGTATATTTGAAATTAACTGTTAAGAGGTTCTTCCTCTCCCAACAGAACTCAACTGTCGAACCCGGGTGAGACGGGATGAGAAATTTCCTAATATGCTTTTAATCATCTTTATTTAATTTTCACAAATGATGGATTCTTACTTTATTTGGCAGTGTCTTTCGATACATGTAAAATGCAAGGGGGAAAAAAAGGAAAAATGTATTTTTGAAAGGTATAATGCTGTCTAATAGTGCTATATCATCAAAAGTTATCACCAACTACAAAAAAATATCAAGAAAACACGAATTGAAAATTTAACCAAAAATACAAGATGGTGAGGGTTAATTCAAGCAAATGTTTGAGGTTTAAGAGAATAGCAGTTAAAAACTAAAAAAAGAAAAATATATTCACTATGCTTAATTATATTTTATAGCTTCTATTTTTTTATTTTATATATCTGGAGCAATAATTGCAACATAATTTTTAATTTGGTCACCGCAACTCAGGTAGTTTTACTTTTTAAGAACATTCGGGACAGAATAATTTTTTATAGGTTTTTGAGCAAACACATTTGAAATTAACTAGGAAAAAGCATATAATACAAACTCTCAATCTGTTTTGCTGTTTAACATGAATAAGTAGTAGCACTTATATAGAAAAAAAAAATAATTCGAAAAAAGTAGTTTTCAAGATAAATTCAATATTTTTTTCCTAATTGATTAAGCTAAATATTTTTTTAAAAACAAGACCAAAAAGCACAATGTTATTTTACAAAATGAACTAAAAGACTAAGCAAACTACAAAAGACTACAAAAAGTCCAACTGCAAATGGTTGAAATATATGTTCGATAAATTTACGACTTATGCGGGAAAAGGCGAATGGATTGATTTAAACTCCACTTTAAAATCCTGGACATAAGAAACCAGCAATTTTCAAAATTTTCGTACCGGACAACCTGGTTTATCCCCCCTCCAACAAAAGCCCTTCTTTTTTTTCATCCCGATACATCTCAATTCCATCATTCATTTAAATTTTAAAATTTACTTAAAAGGAGGCCACGGGAGAAGCCTTTCATCGCAAATTTATTTTATCTCCATAATTATTTAAAAAATTAAAGTATAGAAAAAGTGAATTCAGAAAAGCCTAGAGTGAGCCATAAAGTTTCAAATGCTGAAAAAAAAATTTTGTTTTGTTTTTAAAATATCAAAATGCAAACAAATTATTGAAAGAGAACTCCCCCATTGCATAATCCTGAGTTATCTTCTCATAATTTATTTTCATTTGGATATTTAGAAATTTTTTTTTTCAGTATTCGAAACCTCACGATTTACTCTAGGTTTGTTTGAACTCCCTTTTTCTAGACTGTAAATTTTGAATAACATATGGAAGTGAATGAGAATTAGCCATGAAAAGTTTCTCCCAAGGTATGGTGCCCTCTTAAGTTCTATCAATGTTCTAAACAGGCAATTTTTACAAATATTGTGTATTAAAACATTTACCGAATTTGTTTTCTAAGAACTTATTAACTGGCCATTATCAGCTGATAAATTTATTGATGCTATATTAAAAAAATTAAAATAATAAAGTACTTTTTTAGAAAAAAAAATCAGGGAAATTTTTTTCAAACGAAATATAAAAGCGGTGATTTTTCAAATTACAATGTATTAATACTCTACAAGCACACACACACACACAGAAAAGAAAAAACATAAAAGACTAAACGAAATTTATATCCCTGCTACCTGTATATAAGTTGTATTAGTAGTAGTAACTTTTTTTACGTCTCAACGGAGAAAATTCAAATGGCTATTGGCGAAGTTCTGGGAAACATGCCTGATGATCCGAAGACATTCCATCACAATTTTGATTCTGTGCAAAGCAGATGACTTCCCCACTTTGGTAGCTCGATGACCTGAGCGTGAAGTCTAATACTTTGCAGTAAAACTGTTTAACGAAGGCCGGTACCGCGCATCCTTTGGTCTCTTTGTAATCTGATCAAAATGGACCACTCACTGACTACTGCCAGGAATGCTCAACTTCGGTGATCTACTGGGAATCGAGTCTTAAGATCTGTATTTTAAGAGCCGTGATCTTAATGTGGGATTGCATAAACTTTGCTGTTCCGCAGTGGACTGATCGTTAAGACACGGTTCCCAGCAGATCACCAAAGTCAAGCATCACTGGCTACGATCAGTGTGCGGGTGGGTGCCCACTTAGATTAGTCTGCGTAAGGACCGAGGGTGTGGGGTATTGGTCCTCGTTAAACTGTTCTACTGTTAAGTGCTCGACTTCGCGTGCAGGTCGATTCAAACCCGCTACCGTCAGGCGTCAGAGCGTTTGACGGAAAGTTCGGAAAGAATTAAAATCGATAAAGGAAAAATTTTATTTGACTACAAAATTTCATGCCACTTGATGCCATTTCTCAGAGTGCCGTTGTAACACACTTGTTACAAGTAGTACGGTTTTCTTGCCGGGAGTGATTGGGATGAAGTAACCTTTCTTTGTGTAAATAATGTTTTCCATTTAAAGGAAGCCCATAACTTCGAGATTTATAAAATTAGATATTTACATTTGCAATCACAAAGCTCGAATACGCCATCTGAGAAGAGCAACGGTCCCGTGTCTTGACCCTTCCACCTCTTCTTAGTTGTATAAGAATGTACTACGATATTTTCTTCTTTTTTTTTTAAAAAATATTTCTCGTATTTAAATGTTAAAACTACTTTTTTTTATATTTTCACGACGTCTTTTTTAGAACTATGTTCAATATAGTTTTCAGTTCCAAATAGTTTCCCTACTCAAAAGTTATTAATCTACTTAAAAATCAAGAGAGAAACTAACGTACTTTCTTTTCCTATGACTCTCCACACGCTTTCGAACACCAATTAACACACTGCAGCCTTATCGATGCAGAGCGCAAGAGTGAAACTGTTAAAAAAGCAGGCCAGAAATCTCTAAGCTAATTTTGTCTAACTAATTTTACTTGCATCCAAAAGCCCAAATTTGCATTACCAAATCACCTTATTGGCGATCGAAATGGGCTGTAGGTGGCGTAGAGCAAAACTCTTTACCTACGGCAACACTTCATATGCTGTCACCATTAGCATGTGGAGAGCCATAGGAGGAGGAACAGCGGACGTTTCTGTCTTGATTTTTGCCTAGATTAAAATCCTAAGTTGGGAAACTATATGGAACTGAAAACTACATTAAACATAGTTCTAAAGGAAAACATCATGGGAATTAAAAAAATTGTTTTTAACAATTAAATATGAAAAATATTAAGAAGAGGAGACACGTCGTAGTGCATTCTTCTGCAACTGAAAAGAGAAGGAGAGGGAAAGAGAGAGGTTCAAGACATGGAACCGGTCTTCTCCCCAGATGGCGTATTCGAGAGTTGCGATCGACATTTCAACTGCTGTTCAAGAGTGTCGCAGTAACGAAATTCTTCTTTGGTTGGTTAAATGAATAGATATGAGTTATTACTTGATTTTGTGATTTGTATGAATTTTGAAGTTTAAATCTGAATTGCTGTAAGTTTAAATTTATTTATGGAATAGTTCTTTCTGTTAAAGAAATAAGGTAGAGAAACGAAGATAGTTTTCATGTTTATGTGGAAAATTATGGCATCAAGTTTTCTATAACTCGATTACTTTATTAAACTTTTTTTTGGCAACTGTTTACATTGTTATGGCTGCCGTCGGAAGTTAATTTTATTATTTTAACGGTTGTTTTAACAGTGGACATCAAAATCAGATAGTATGTGCTGACATTTTTTTCTGATTTCATCAAGAAAACAAATCAAACTTTATCATATAGATAAAAACTTTATCGTGCTAAGTGTAAACTATTTTTTAACTTAATTTTTATGAATTGTGAGGTGAGAAAATGATTTATAACCTGATAATTTTAAATTTTTAATGGTAAGTTATGGAAATATTGTTGATGCACATTGTTCTTTTTGCAATTAAATATACTTTACACTATTTTTTATGTGTTTAACTTAAGATTCTTTGTTTATTTTTAATGTAAAGATTAATGAAGTTCATCCTTTAATGATGTCTACAATAAGTATTTAAAGAAATCTAAAATTTATATGCATTTCCTTTTCTTTATTATTTCTATTAATTAAAAATTTTTTAAAAATTTCTTAAATGAAGAGTTTTTTTGATTAATCTTAAAATTACAGATTTTAATCATCAGATCATTCAGTCATTAATCATTTAATCTGATCATTCTTAATTAAATTCTATATGTAAGATTTTTTTGTTGTTTATAAAAAATCTAGTATTGGATTCGCCATTTGGTAATTAGATTATATCACTTATTAACTTGTTTTGTTGATGCCAGTGTCAGGGCTTATAAGCAAATTCTGTGCATTAATTTTACCTCAATAACAGGCTAGTTTATTTATCTGTAATGTTTTGAAGCTGTTAAATAGGAATAATGTTATATAGGCCTAAAATTCGCAAAAATATTTTTTTTTTACTGTTATGTAACTTTTCTTTTTAATTGTAAGGATTTAAGCAAATTTTTTATCTTTTTTTAAATTAACATTAAAAAAAAATGGAATTCTCTGAAAGGGTGGATTCCTGACCCAAAGATTTATTTAACCTTCAGAAAGTTTCATAAATATATATGAGGTATATAAAAATATTCATTCTGTGGAGTGTCGCTCTAATTCCTGATCAAAAAACAACAACTCTCAATTTTTACAATCAATCTCAGAGTTACCAGTTTTGGCATGGAGTAGGGAATTTTTGATATCCTGATGAAATATTTATTTACTCATAATTTAACTAATTATTGTTAATAATTCAATGTTTTTGAGACAATTACTGGTCGTTGACATATTTGGTACAAATAGGTAATATTTTTAAATAATTAATTTCTTTTTGTATTATTATAGGATTTTTGGTAATATTTCAGAGTTAAATTTATTCATTGTGAAAAATATATAGTAGGTTCAACAAACCTTAAAAAATATATAGTAAATTCAACAACGAAGTATTTTTTTGTACAATTTATATGTATTATCCATGGATTCCATATCTACTGTGATTGGATCTATATCTTTTCAATGAGTTGGCCCATAAAAAAAATTGTCACTGTTTTATCTCGTTTTATTCAATGTAAATTTCTTGCTCCTTTTTACATTCACTTTACTCTTTTGTGATTTTGGTGAATTTTCTTATAAAATGTTTTATTATCACATAATGTTTGCGTTTCAGAGCATCTACCCAAATTACAGTAGTATCTTGATTGATTGTTTCTTATGGGACTATTCATTGTAAATGACAGATGTAGGAAAACAAATGTAGATTAACTAAAGTATCAAATGAATTGAACATTGAACATAAAAATGAATACAGTGTATGAATGAGTACAGTAGTACTAAAAATTTTAATTGAAGGAATTATGTGCGTAATACAAAAATAATTACATTGCAGTAGGAAGGTAAACATAATTAATTTTGAAAAATGTTGGGGAAATTTTGTTCGCCCGCACTATTCTTTTATAATTGCAAATAATAAATTTTTGACATTTCTAACCGATTGCTGTACATTATCTGTAAGTTTGTGTGAATACTGAAAATTTCTCATTGTTTCAAAGGCATCGGGATATTCTGCAATAGTCATTACTGGCTATGGTTCTGTTTCGCTATATCACTTAGTACTTCTTCAGCTTCTGCAAACATTTCAAACGGATTTCATCAGACAATGCATGAACATCAAACCTAAAGTTTCATGTGTTTTCTCCTAACTGTGACAAATTCCCATTTACTTTAACAGTAGTTTCAGCCGTTGATTTCTTCTGAAAACAAAATAGATTTAATTTTTAAAAAAAATGTTGGTAGAGTTTTTGATTGATAAAGCGAAAATAGCATTTGCGATAGGACTGTTAAAACAATAAGATATGAATAGGAAACAAAAGATGCAGGAATGAGGATGAAAGTCTGACTGTACTAGGTGGTAACTCTATTTCTGACGGTTTGCTTTCATATAAATTTTTTTTTGTTACTTTATGTCTTTAATTATCTTGTTTATTTAACTTTTTATTGGCCTTGAATGAATAATGAGAACATCATTGACCATTAATTATTCCAGGAACCAAAATTTATCCTAAATACAAAAGGCATTATTTTATGGTTTTCTGAAAATTATTTAAAATAATGTAAGAAAATTTAGTAACTAAATTAGTTAATAATTCTACCAAAAAATAAATAATAATAAAAAGTTAATAAAAAATGAACTAATTAAAATTTAATTTGTGTGTCAAAGATTTTTGTAAAAATGTGATATAATTAAAGTCAATGTTATTTTACAGGAATTTAGCTATCAGTTGAATTCCCCCCCCTCAAAACTAAATAAATAAATGCTGTATTTTAAATAAGATAATTCAAAGTATCTCCATCATTTTTATTTGGTTGCTGAGTTTCACAAAGACTGTTGCCAGAAATTACTTTGGAAATTTGTTGATCACTAGAGCGACTGTATACTGTATCCCTATTTGATAACCTGGGAAAAAATAGTTTTGCTATGAGGAGTTAGCTGCAGATCTAAATGCAACTTTCTAGGTATGGCTGCTCGAAAGCCAATTAGTTAGAATAGTCTGAGGAGTCATTTTTTTAAAGTTCGGATTTTTATGGAGGACCTCTATTTAGTAGCAGGAGTTTCTCGAAGGGTCAATGAAAAAGCCTAGTTTTTTTCTATAGTGACCCTTCTATTATAGCATTGAAATTCAGATTATTATTTTATTCTAAATTATAATTAACGTCATAAAATTGTAATTAAATGATCAATACAATTTTTAATTTTACTGTAAATCATTTTATCCATGCAATTTCCTATTAAAGTTTCTTCTGTCCTATTTATTATTGTGAGTACAACCAAGTAGAATTTAATATTATTTCATTAAACTGAGCTTATTGTATATTTCCAAAAATAAACTCATCCATGTGAGCCATCATAAGCCAAAATGTATGCTTTTTATTTGAAAATTTACTAAAAATTTGAAACTTGTATATAAGCTGGCATTAAAAAAAAAAGATTTAAGGCCTGCTATGCTTGGAAGTAAAAAATTTCTCTCTCTCTTGCATAATTTACTCTCTCTGATGGTTGCATAGTGGGTCCGTAAAAAAAAGCCTGGACCTTCCAAATTTGTAATTAGAAGATTTAAGAATGATAGTATATTTTTTTCAAATTGTCCTTTTTATGTGTTTATATTTAAGTATTCTGTTTTCAACTATTATTTTGTTTTATGTTTGTGTTTTTTAATATTTACTGATTATCGCTAATGGTCTACAAAAGGAGAAGTATTTCTATTGGTGATGTCCTAACGAGATTTATCAAAGTTAATGAATCTGATTATCAGTCGATCACTAAACTTTTGTTTTCGAAAATCTTCCGAAAACTCTTGGTTTGTGCTTGTAAATATACAGTGCAGTAGTGTCTTAATAATTCGAGGTAGGTGTGATGAAATTATAGAAATTTTTTTATTTATCATCATTTTATTTAAGGACTTTGCCAAAACACACATTTAAAATCGCGTGAGCTTTTTTTGCAACTAGATGCTTTTTTTAATTTGGTTTGTATGGATATCTGGATAGATGGCAAACCTTTGCTAAATGGAGTCTGTAACTTATTAATGTTGTGAGGTAATGAGGTTACTCTTACGTTTTAATAAAATATTGAGTTTGGGATATCAGTAAAAATTTACATTATAATTAAAAGTCTCAGTATCAGAAACGCTACATCATGATAGCGGGCTCTATAGATTATTTCAGTCTGAAGATTATTTATTACTTAAGTTTTATTTTTAAAAAGCGAGTAAATGAGAGAAAATTGCTGAGATATATTTTTGAGGCATCTCTAAATTTATTTTTTATAAAAATTATAAAGCTAAATTGAGAAAACATCACAAAGATTGTATGATTTTGTATTTTTTTTCATAATATATGATTTTATAAACCTTGTAACTAAAATTTTTGCACCATGTTTGTTAGATAAGGCTGAATTTTTGAAATTATATTCTCTGTCTGAGTGCGTTGAGGTCGCAAACCAATTTGCTGCATTCACGTCACAAATTCTGCTGTTGGTTTTAGAACCCTATTTAACTTTTTAAGATGCTTAATTTAATTGTTATGGAGTTCGAGGTATTTTAATGTAATTGCAGAGAAGATAACTCAATGGAGATCTGCTGGAAAAAAAGTCAGTTTTATATAGGGGGAGAACCTGCAATTTTGTCATGGCTGTGTCTCCAAATTTTTGTTTTCACCCTTGAATACTACTTTCATTTTTGCCTAACTTTGTTACTATGCTTTTACTCATTAATTTTTCTGTGTCTTATGTTATATGTTTTACCTGTTAAAGATAAAGTAAAGGACTTAAATAGTTGTCTCTATTTCCAAACATAAGAATTAAAAATTGATAATGATATGTAGCATATTTATCGAAATTTATTTTAAAAAAAGTAACATCTAAGTTGAAGGAAATAGAATTGTATAAGCAAAAGAGCACTTTCAGAGTTATAAGGTAAAATTTTATTCTCAGATTTCTGTTAAAATGAGAAGATTCTGATTTTTAGAGTTGCTGTCAAAAGTAACATTTAGGGTAATAGAAAGTGGAATTTTATTCATTTGTGTCAAAAGTTGCACTTAGGCCAGGGTTGGCCACTTCTAATTCGTTGAATCATCTACATTTTCACGACTATTTGTTCTGTGTACGCGTCACAATAGGTACAGTGATTAAGATATTGAGTTGTCATTATAAAATACTGGGTCTATTTCTGGTGATAGTTTATAACCTATTCATACCACTTCTGCTCGACGCTGATTTTATTGTCAATATTAGGACACAAAATATTTAAACTCTATGATTTCTTCAACTAAAAACTAGTTTAGAAGGGTTTTGCTTTATGTAGGTTTACAAAACTGTGTGTATAAAAGTAAAAAATATATTTAGTTATTTTGATATGTTACATGTTGATTGCTATTTTCTATGCCATAGAATGTTTAAAAAAAATGTGTATTTTTTGTTTATGCTTCTTTTATTTACTCGTTCTCTACTATGTGGCAAAACTTTAGTTGAAAAATGTGAGCAATTTCATGATATTTTCATATCAGCAGTTACTGTGTACGGTATTTCTGAATTTGAAAAGATTTTTGCTGTATTAAAAAGCTAACTACACTACAAATAAGTAGGTATGGTAATATGCCTATAATAGATTAATAAATAACATGCAAGTTAGTCAAGACGTAAAGTTTTGAATTATATCTGCAATTTAGATTTTTTTTTTATTAAAATTTGTTTATGTTAAATATATCATGTAATTTTGCTAACGCTTTCAATGTTGTAAACCACGAGATTTTTATTGAATCTATTACTGATTTTGCTCTTATTTCATCGAACTTTGACATTGAAATATTAACATTGTTTCTACCATTGTTTCTAACATTTTCTGCATAGAAGGTAGGCAGGGTAAATAAAATAAATAATAGGTAATAATTGAAAGCGATCAACTTTTATTACACTAGCGTTTTGGTAAGACAACGCCAACTATGACCCATGAGCCCCATATCTGACATACCTATTTTATAAAGATAATACAAATGCTCTTTTTTTTCTTCTTCCATTATTGCCTTCCTTTTGCTTGATTCATCTCTTTGACGTCAATTTTGTTTTTTTGTTGTTGCGGATATTAGATTCTTGAAAGCGGAAATTTGATAAATGATATTATATATTTTTCATTGTTTGTTGAAGAGCAAACAAATGGGGTTTCTATATCTTTTCAACATAGCCAAACTGCTTGCTCTGCCTCAATTCTATTCTAACGCTGTGCTTATGACCAGCTGTTTACGTTTGTGACAGTTTTTAGTAGATTCTAGGCTAGGGCTTCCAAAGTTTAGCTAGGCTTAAAATTTGCGTAGTTTTTTGAAGTTTGAATCACTTAAAAACTAACTTAAGTAAAAGAAACGAAAGAAAGGATTAAAAAAAATAAATAAAAAAAAAAATAGGGAATAGTCAGCACGTGCAGAGCACTTTGGAATACCAGTTCAACGTTTCGAAATTGTTAAGAGCAAAGATTTTATTCTACTTTGAACTAAAATAAGAAATTAACTTTTTTAAATGCAGCGTAAATTATTGGTAGTTCAAAATTAAGCATAATTACAATTTCCCCCTCCTTAACAAATAGAAAAATCTGGCAAGTCTAGTTAAATTTTGCCGAAAATATCTGGTTTAGAAAAGAATTTTTTCGAAGTGTTTATTTTGGAGCACTCTTACGCACGGCTAAGAAGAATTGGAATTCTTCTTCTGTAGCTCTACTGCTTGTTGCAGGCCAAGGCTGTCTCCAAACGTTTCTTCTATCGGCAATCATCCGCTGCCCCAGTTCTTCAACGGTTAAACCCATTTTCGTCTAACATTTCCTCAACTGTATCAAGTCACCTGGTGGATAGTTTCGAATAATTTTGCGCAAAAAAAAAGTTTAAAAATAACACGAATGGAGTTAATGACTTTTTAGTTGTAAAGATAATAAAGACTCTCGTGAATTATTGTAAAAATGTTCATTAGCATTTTTTAATTCACGAGCTTCGACTTCGAAAAAGATTCAAAATCTAAGAATGCAAATAAGAGTATAGAAATATTTTCAGGAAGGTTCATCTGTTTAATAAAATTTTAAATTTGTCTTAAGATTTGATTTGAATGTAATAAATTGCAAAAAGAAAAAAAAAGATATCTTTACTATAAATTTCAATACAAATTATTGCATAATGCGTTTTCGAAATTACCAACTTTTTAAAATTATATTGCATCTAACTGCGAAAATTCCGATTCAACTTTTTTATTATATTTAAAATCATTGCTTTAAATAGTTTTGAACTACCTTTTTTTTTTTTGGTTCATGGTATGCATTTTAAATAATTATTCAAAAGAATTTTTTTTATACCGAATTCCATTTTAAGAAATTATAGTGGACCTTGATTATTCGAAATCTCTCTCATCCGAATACTCGAATACCCTTGTTAACCTAAGTTAATTTCAAAGTTTTCATTTTCCGATTTTAATAATATGGTTAAATTATAATTCGCGAAACCTTCATAAAGAAGATTTCACTTTATATTTCGAGATTACGTAGAATTGGTCACTTTATGTGAGTAACAGGTAAACGCTTTGTTATAATGAAGTTGATAGCTATGGTTTTGCTGCAAAAGAAATTTAAAACCAGTACATTTTGTTCTTTGATTCGTTCTTGAGTTTAGTAGTTATGCATATATACTTATATAGTTATGTATGGCTTCCACAACATTATTATAGTGAAAATTTAAGATGAAAGTCTTATAAAGGAAAAAAAAATATTGCGTGGAGTCCCTCCGCCCGGAAGAAGTTAAACTTCGTAACCTGCGACGTTAATTGTAGAAGAATCAGCAGTTGTAAAAGGATCACTAATTCTATTCAACGACTCTTTTTCCTGCTCCGCTCGCTTCCGTGCTCTGTAATAACCGTAATATTGTGCATTTTTCCCTCGTGGACCTTTGGAACCAGTGGAAGTGCTTGTGGTTGCCTCATCGTCTCGCCATGGAGAATGTATTTGTATTAATAATGTATGTGAATGCGTCATAATGTAATTTCAAAAGAGAAAACCTAACAATCAATTGATATTCACAAGAGACGTACCTTGACATAACCTTAAATCCGTCGCATTGTCCGTGGGATTGTTTTCACTCATTTTTTACAATTGTTATCCACTA